TATGCATCATTTGTGTGATGAACTTTCTCCATTATAGCTTAATGGGATAGTTGGAACATCAGTTGGGTGAAGAAGGAAGCATGATCAATATAATTCTCCCACCATGACATGTAATCCTCCATATAATTCTCACATCATAACACATTGATGAAAGAGACAATTGTAGTTCTGTTTGCAAAATTTGGTGCTGTTGAGTGATTTGATTACCTTCCATTGTTGTAACATGATAGGTAGAACTGTTGTGAACATAAAACTGATCTGATCACATAGCTACCCTAGTGTAACAGTCCTGTTTCATTGTATTCTCCATCTTTTGAATTCCTACTGCCTTTTCCAAAGGTTTAGAGGGAAACTACTGAGCTCTGAAGGGTCTTCACTGGCATCTAATGTCCAGTTCAACTCAAGTAATAGTACTCCAAGCTTAAAAAAATCTAATGTGTGACCTTACTGAGCAGCCCCAGTTTGGGCAATTCATTTAACCTCAGGCCTCAGTTTCCACACTAACATAGATAGATAGATAGATAGATAGATAGATAGATAGATAGATATAGATAAAAGTCTTTTCTTGTTCCAAATCCTATGAAGCAGCTACATAGTATAACAAATACAGTGCTGAACATGGAGTTAGGAAGACTTGAATCTGAATCTTGCTGTAGATACTTACTAGTGGTATGATACTGGGAAAGTCATTTAACCACTCTCAGCTTCAATTTCTCTATTTATAAAATGTGAATAATAATGGCATCAATCTCACAGAGTTGGGAGAACTAAGTGAAATAAGCGTAAAGTGCATTGCCAACTTTAAAGCACTATATAAAGGTTAGCTATTATAGTTGTTCTTATTATTTTATATAGAAATATTTTGTCTTGTTTTAATAAGTTCCTGGTGAAATCAATGAAATTAACAAATTATCCTTTAGAATATTTGTATCTACAGATATAATAATAATCCTTTGGTAAGTCCTAGCTAGACAAGATGAAGGCCACAACTTTGCCAAAGCCTTTTGTTCTTCGACACTCTAAATATGCTAAAAATATTATAATATCTCTAATCTTACAGCTAATATAATGTGTCAGTAACTTTTTCTTTTATTGACACTAATAAAAATAATTAATCAGTGCCATTCTAATTACATCAAAGCAACTAAATGATAATTATTTATAAAGCACAGAGAGGGAAATTGTAACAGTGATAGTCTTTCAAAGAGACATACTCTTCATTAGTGAATATTTCTAATTGCTTATTTTACTTTTGACATAAATTTATAAGAATCCAAACACCTGAAAAATCTACCTTTACTTTGGGAAACGGTCCTTGGACAATTAATTTTCTGACATTTCTCTTTCAGATCATTCTTTTTCTTTTGTATAGATTTAGGAAAAAAGACCTAGACTTTGAATAGGCCCCAATGAGATTTCCCAATATTGCCAAAATTTTATATAAAATTAAGAAGAAAAAATTAGTATCAAATCAACAAATACTTATTAAATGTCTGTGATGTACATGGCACAAAACTTTACATTCGTAAACTATTTAAACTTGTTTAATTGGAAAAAAATTATCTTCAATAATAGTGGAATCAGAATAACTATGTAAGCACACCAATGCTATAATTAACAAAATGTGAAAAATCTAATTAAAATTCTGAGCATACTATGCATCAATTAGTTTCTCGTAAGCACGGGGTTGTTTATTAAATTATTTCAAATATTTATGATCTATCTTTGAGAAAGTATGACTAACTTTAGCATTTCCTTGACAAATAAATTAGCACTGTTGAATGAGTTTAAAAATATTCCTTTATAAAATGAATAATAGTCATGCTTACAACAGAGAAATCTCAGCATACACATACGTATGCATACTCAAGAATAAATTGTACCATCTCATTTGCTAACAGGAAGATTTATATTTTTATATTACATGCTAAAGGATTTCATTATTAAAGATGTTTTGTAACAACCCACTATTATTTAAAATTTCCTTTTATAGTCTTTTTAAAAAAAACATTGACCCTGAAGCAGTTGTAGAATAGTGGAGAGAAAGTTAAGTCTTGAAGCCAGGAAGACCTGAGAATAAATCTAGTCTCTGCCAATAAACTAATAACACCCAAGAGAGCTTCAGGCACGTGTGTGTGTGTGTGTGTGTGTGCTGGTGAGGCAATTGGGGTTAAATGATTTGCCCAGAGTCACTAAGCTAGTAAGTGTTATGTGTCTGAGGCCGCATTTGAACTCAGGTCCTCCTGACTCCAAGAGTGGTGCTGTATCCACCGTGCCACCTAGCTGCCCCTGCCTCAGGCACTTTTGGACAGCTCTAAAAGGGAGGTTTTTTTTTTAATTTAAATTTACTAAAAAATGTTTACTCACATGGAGCCTAACTTTACCGTTACATCTTCCTCCCATAACTCATGGTTGTATGAGGGTTTGGGGGAGTGAGATGGAGTGTGTGTGTATACTGAGTATCAAATGAAACAAGTCTAATGTCTCATTTATATGACAATCTTTCAAATACTTGAAAATAGTTATTATGTCCCCCATCAGTCTTTACTTCTCTAGATTAAACATTCCCAGGTTTATTGGCATTAGGAAGAACACACAGGATGGGGACTCATGAATTATATGACTAGAAAGATATGCCTAATGCCTCAATCATTCCTTTAACTATAAGATGAGGTATAACTAGATAAACTCTGGGGATTTGACCTGTTAGGGCTTGTGGGTTAGGAGAGCAGGCCCAGAGCCTATGAGCCACACACAGAGCCTTGTTCAAAAACTGTTGGTAGAAAAAGAGAGATTTCATCTCTTTGTGCCTTTGTATGCACCCTCAGTTTTGGCTCAGCAGCCAAACAAATGGCTTTTTGTCACCATTTGGAAACTTAGAGAATGACTGCAGATGCTCTAAAGTAAACTGGTAAAGCCACTCTCCATCATCATTTGTAGAAGCAGGATGGCCAAGCTTTCATGTCGCTTGGCAGCCAGCAGATGTGAAGTGTTAGGACTAGGCTTTCATTGACAAGTCTCACCCTGCTCCCCTCCATTACATAACCCCATAACAAGGGTGCCTCAAATCCTGAATTTTCTGGTTAATTTCAAACATGAAGAGATTACAAAGGGAATTATAATAATAATTGTGATAAGGTATGAACCCAGTTTGAAAGTTATTGAATTTACTACACTGTGGTGGTATTTTAAGTCCTACTGTAGCTAGACATCATTGCATGGAATATCCATTAGAATTTGCAAAAGTAAATCTGACTGAAGAGATCAACAGTAAGGGTTTGAAGGCTCATATAGAATCTATAGGTAGCCAGTGCCCTTTTAAATAAAATAATGTGAAACCTTCTGATTTTGTGTGTTTCTGTGTGTGTACTTTTGCCGAAGGAAATTAAAGGGAGGGAGGAAAGAAGGAGGGAAGGGACAAAGGAAGGAATGAAGGAAGGAAGGAACTAAGGAAGGAAGTATAGATTATTTCATCCATTGTCTTTTGACTGGACTTAACAACAGTGTCCTAACTGACCTCTCTGTTTCTGAATCTCTTTCTTCTCCAATAAAGACTCCACATAATTGTGGGATTGATAATTTTAAAATGCAAATCTGACCACATCACTGTGCTACTCAAAAATCTTCAGTGATTTCCTATTGTCACTAGAATAAATGTAAATTTTTCTGCTTGAATATAAAGCCTTATACAATCTGATTCATTCCTATCTTTTCTGTCTCATTTCAAATGTCTCTCTTGTAACTATTTACTCAAAATTCAATGAGGAGAATTGATAGTGTCTTCAGGCATTCTCTAATGTATACAAACTGGTCAGCCAGCTGATTTCCAAATGTGATATTTTCTGGCATTGATTACGCCAATGGGATGAATCCAAGGGATATAGTACACTTGGGGTGAGTAATCTTCCATTACAATGTGAGCGTCTTGAGAGAAAGGCCTACCTTTTGTCTGACTTTGTATCCCCAGCAGTTAGCACTAGACACTTAATAAATGCATGCTGACTGACTTGAAGGGAACTGTTATAGATAGGATATTTCTGGTAAAGTTATCTGGTAAAGTATTTGGTAAGGCTTATCATCTGAAACCTATGCTTAAATATTAGGTATAACGACAAATGAGTAACAGGATGTCAAGATTTATTTGATACACACATATATTTTATAAAAAATGAAACTTCTATTAAATAACACTGAAAATCAGTTTTATCATCTTTTAATCTTTGCATGATTCAACCTTACATTTCAGTGCTAAATGCCAGATTTGCTATGTATATATCAGTAGCATGTTATAAAATCGTAGGGTCAGAATTAGAGCTAGAAGAAACATTGAATCTAACCCTCTCATTTTATGTGGAAAAACAAAAACAACCTCAGTTGAGTGATGTGCCCAAGGTCATATAGCTGGTAAGTATCTAAGGCAGAGTTTGAACCTTAGTCTTCCTTACTCCAAGTTCAGTGTCCTTTCCATTATACCTGCCTTCAGGAAAGTACCTGGTAGTTTAAATATAGTTCATGCAAAAATTCTTGCAATAATAAAATTCACTCTTAAGAACTACAAGTATGAAAACCTCAGAACATGATTTTTTAAAAAAGTTTTCGCTAAACCTTGCAAGTAATAAAAGGCTCCTTTTTAAGTTTTTAGATGTGAGAAGGGGATGCAAAAACAAACAAATAAAGCAAATATCCTTTTGCATGGTTCATGGCAGACATGCCTCACCTTCCATTGGAGAATTCAATGTGCTGCCCTTTGCATCTCCAGGGACAAAGACAATTGAAATTAGCCAATGATACTATAAGTGCCTTCTGTCTTAAAACACCTTCTCTGCTCTGTAATGGCAAGAAGGCTGTTTGCCCAAGCACTCACTTTGCTGTGTTTTCTCTATTACCATGCCCCACTGCCAGGAAGTGAACAATTTCATAATTAAAAAACAAAACAAAACGAAACAACAAGACAAAACTCTTCTTTGTTGCCTTCTTCTTTTTTTTTTTTTAAGTTTTACCTGCTGCTCATTAAGCTTCTTTTGTATCTCCTCAGAGTCACAGGAGTCATAGACGATGGGCTTAGCTAGCTCTGATTCAATGTGTGCAAGCCAGGATCTGAGGCTGCTCATGTTCTTATCCAGCTGCTGCACAGCCACCAGGGTCTCCTTGAGCTTTTTCACCCTATTAGAGAAACCACAGGACTGGACTTCATTAAAGAGCTCCATTTAGACATCACTTTCACATAACAAGAAGCAAACTTGTTACTTTATATTGACTAAGGGATGTCTGATTATTTGAAGTTGTTTTTGCATCAACATTTGGCCCTCTCACCCACTCTGTCCTCTACCTGACATGCAGATTTCAAAGCCTAAATCCAAAGAGAACATAATAACTGCATTAAACCTATGATACATGGTAGACCACATTTTGATACTCATACTTGAGTGTCACAAAACAGGATTAAATATTCATATACCACTTCACATATTATAATGCAATTAGTCCTAAACCAGAAATTTTGATTTAGTGGGATAGGTCTCAGTAAGCAAGCATTAAGATTGAAAAGCTCATTTTAGGGAACAAAATAAATGTAATGTAATGCACCACTGTCAAACAATACACCATTCTGTTTGAACATCTGTCAAGTATTTGACTAATGTACTTTTAAAATTCAAATACCACATAATATGTTACTCCATCTACTGCCATTAAATCACTTTTAGCTCTGTTCTTAGAGATGAATCTGGGGCCAAAAAGTTTTTTTTTCCTGTATGAAGCTTCTTCATACTAATAATATATTTTCATCTATATAATATTATTTGATTTACAAAGAATTTTATATACAGTTTCTCACATTTGGTCTTCACAAGCTTAGAGGTTAAGCTTTTTGTTCTAGGTCGCACGCTAAAAAGTAATAGGCCAAAACTTCAGCCCAGGTCTTCTGATTTATTACAGTTAACTCATTTGACATAATATCCCAAGGTAAGAGGCCAGCTCTATAAATTTTTTTGAAATTTGTAAAAATTTATCTTTTGATCAAATAAAACACAGGTACCTAACACTTGTGTGAAAATAGGGCCTTTTTTACCACTCATTTCCTGACTATAAGAAGCATATTTAAAAAAATAAACATACTATCCATGTGGTGAACACTGTACCATATCAGGAACGGAGCATTTTTTAGAAGCTGATAACTGGAATGTTTGATACTAAGAGTCCTAAACCAGTCTTTTGTAAAGTCTAACTAGAAGTCAGATCATCATCACCCTCTCTAATATTTCAAAGGCAGTAGGTATCTTTTTGACATGTAGCGCACCTCATCTCTTACTAGAAATGGGGGCATAGTACAGGAAGGATAATATGGTGACAGTTTCCAGACATATTACATCCCAGACTTTTTGCTGCCAGAAATGTAAGCAGAGCATAGTCACAGCAGTCATTCGTGGACCTGATGCAAGGCAAGCTACCTCGTTGTGCTTGCTTGGTAAGTAGCCTCCATCTTCCATGTTAACTGTAGGGCTTCAGAGTGAAATCAACCAAACAAAAAAAACCATTGCCACTAAAAAATGGGAGCTCTGTGATAGTGCTGATCTGCCAAAAAGTAAAGGTAATCTTTTTAGACTTTGTAGTTTTGCGGTAGTTCTCAATTTAAAATAAATTTTGTCGTAATAAAACAATAATATGTATGGCACAGTGGAGTAAGAGCTGTCCTAAGGGATAGAATGACCTGACTTCTAGTCCTGTCTCTTGATAGATAATGGTTATGTGACCCTGAACAAGTCACTTAACCTCTTGGACTGTAAGTTACAGAACTGTTGCTGATCTGTTCTGGTATAGAGTTTTCCCACAAGGAGTTACCTCTAACAATGAAATTGTAGATCCAAAAGAAAAGAATAAATGAAGAAAAAAACATGTTGAAAAAGCTCAGATTATGGACTAGTCTTCTTTTTTCCTGGAAAACATTACAGTAATTCTGTAAAAATCTAAATATTTTGAAATTTTAGATTTACTACCAATTGCTCAACAAACATAGTATTAAAATTTTTATTACAATTCAAATTGATTCTAGTACTACATGAAAATATACTAATTTCATGATCTAATGTTTTCAAGGCTCAGTTTTTGGGAGCCTGTTTTATTGAATGTGCTGTGCTTTGTCAAAAAACAAAACCAAAAAAACTGATGACACTGATCCCACTTCACAAGGCCATGTGTTTTGAATTGCTTTTCCACTAGAAGTGGAAGTCCATTCATACTTTTGCCTGTTCCTCCCGATGGCCTCAGGCACACATTTTCAGGAGAGTTGGCCAAGGCTCAGGATATAGTGTGTGGCCAGGTTACTCTCATATGTGAAGACCATGGCATTTGCATAATGCTCTAATCAAGCTAACCAGATAGCAATGATCTCATTAGTAAGATATGATTTGAAATAACAAAGACAGGAACTTTGTAAGCTCCAGTGTAAGCCATTTCATTGGGGTAATAATAAATATTACAGCTGCCAAACACATAACTGGATAATTTTAATAATGCATGCTTTTTTTCCTCTTCTTCAGATACATCCCACAGAAACAGCTTATTTCATAATTATTCAAATTTTATTTTGACTGAAAAATATCATTGAAGCATAATTTAATTTTAATAAATATAGGAAATGAAGAAAAAGCTTCCATTCAGATTTGTTTATATTCCTTTTCTTCATTCGTTCAATACATATTTGCTGAACATTTACTGCAAGTAAAGCAAAGGACACAATAAATGAATGTTTGTTATGTTTTTGGCCACCTGCAAGGGTTGAAATTTACTTTGAAATAAAAAATGCAATTTTGTTTTTTCAGAGTACAGTCAGTATCCACTGCAGAGTGTATTTCCAGGAAGTGGATGGAAGTCATAGCTTTGCAGCATGAGTTACCATGATTCATTCATGAGAGACTTCCCTAAACAGCTTTAAAAGCCTAGACTGTGCCCTGCCCCCAAGTGCTTGTCTTTTCATTATTTCTTGAAAATCTTCCTATATATTTGCATACAGAGCTCATTCATGTTTCTCACAGTGTTGTTATTTCACTTGAGTGCCAATCATTGCTGAAATTCAGTTTGAATGCCTGGTGAGTACAGAACTGCAAAACACAAGAGTATAATTTAAAGGAAAAGTAATTAGGTGCCACTCTGATGGTGATTCTAAAATCAGAAGATACGGTTTCAAATTTCAGCTGTACCACACATTACTTCTTCCTACCTGTGTGATCTAAGGTAAGTCTCTTAATCTCTTTGGGCATCAGCTTTTTCATTTGTAAAATGAAGGGGGTGGCCTTAATGACCTCTAAACCTCTGATATCATAACCTTTGTTACCTGTATGGTTTTATAAAAACTCTTATTTGCTCTGACTTATAATACAATAAATTTGCAAAGATCAAAAGTACAAAATCCTTAACCCAGTATTTAAAGCCCTCCATAAATTGGTTCTCACCTACTTTCCAGTCTTATTTAATATAACTTCTGTTCACATATTTTCCATTTCAGTAAAACTGGTCTGGGAAGTTAGATGGCGTAGTGGTTAGAGTGCTGGGACTAGAGTCAGAAAGACTCCTGAGTTCAAATCTGGCCTCAGACACTTACTAGCTGTGTGACCCTCATCAACTCACTTATCTCTGTTTGCCTCAGTTTCCTCATCTGTAAAATGAGCTGGAGAAGGAAATGGCAAAACCACTCCAGTATCTTTGCCAAGAAAACCCTCAATGGGGTCATGAAGAGTCAGACATGACTGAAAAACAACTGAGCAGCAACAAAACTGGTCTGGCGGTTGGTTGCCCATATACAACAGGACATCTCTAGCTTCCACGGTTTTTGTGAAGGTGCTCCCTTTCTGTCAAAGACACTTTTTACCCCTGTAGGAGATTTCCTCATGATTCCTCAGCCTCCCCAACTATTAAGGAAATTATGATTATATGCAGAGTTGTACAAAGAATCTATTTCTCTGAGAAATTGCATTGCTCAAATAGAATGTAATCTTCTTGAGGGCAAGGAGTATTATACTGATTCTTGATAGCTCTGCTCTGCACAAAAGCTGTTGTCAGTGTATGCAAGTTGTCAGAGGCATGCATCATGGTACTAAATCGCTTGTTCATAGGGTCTTTTAGGGACAAACTCCTTTTAAAACAAACATGAGTCTACAGAGGACAAGAATGACGTACATACATACATACATACATACACACATACATGGTAAAGGGGTTCTTTCTCTATACCCAATTTAAGCTTATGTTACTGTTGATGGTATAATACATTCAGCTTTAGGGGGAAACATCTTATCAAATTTCCTCCAAGTTTATAGTCCTTTAATTCTAGAAAAGGTGTTACTTTTAATATAAAGATAGACCTCACATTTATTTTTTCATGTTTTTATAAAGCAAATTCTTTTTTAAAAAATCAAGTTTTACCTGTATATTAGACTAAGAAGTTTGGAGGACATTCCTTGTGGTAGCATCCAGGATTACAATCAAAATAGATACTTACAGATGTCTTACAGCTCAGTAAATTTAGCAAGTCTGATAAATCCATAAGCCCCTTGCAGCTTGCTTATATCTATCCTCTCATAGCCCCAAGTATAGTTTTGGGGCTTGACCTTCCTTAGGAAGGAAAATACTATTATGAAGTAAATTCTCTAATTTGCCAATATGTCTATATTTTAAAATGTGCACATTAGCTATTAATGTTCATTTTTCTTAAATGCAAAATTTTGAACTTATTAAGATTTTATCATTTTGAAAAGGAAATTATATATATATATATATATATATATATATATGCTTTTTTCCTTAGTTTATAAATAAAGATAGGAAATTCAAATACCATTGCATTATATTTAATAATACAATTTAGAAATTTCTAATTTGGGATGGCGTGTTAAAATAGAAAAAGGGTTCTTACAGAAACTCAAAACAAAGAGCTTGAACAAATCATAAACATTTGTACAATGTTATATGATTATTTAATTCTTTACATAACTTATTCCACCCAGATTAATTAAAAACTTTTAAAAACTACAGTTCATAGAGTTGGATATTCGTTTAATGAGTTGTAAACTTTAATGAACTAATTAAAAAGTATAAGATGCAAGATGAACAACTCCCCCCAACAAGCAATTATTTTCCTAATCCCTTCTTATAACCAGGAAATATGA